TTCTCTCTGCTGCTGCTCTCGCTCGCTCATGCTTGCGCTCTCTTGTTCACCGCGGCCGTTTTGGCTGCGGGCCCGCCAGCTGTGGCGGGGGGTGGGCGCACTCAACGACTGTCTAGCTTGATTCGGTATAACATCCGATCATACTCTATCTATTTCTTCTTGCATCAAGAGGTTGTGGGTAGAGAGAGTTGGATCAATATTTACATTATCGATGTGCCTGTTCTGGACCGCCAGGGCGTCCTGAGGTCAGCCTATGGCCGACCCCTCCCTGGCATGACGCCCGTCCTCCACACGCGACCCGCCCTGCCCGGCGGAGAGGATGCTCGGGCGGGGCGCGGCGGTGCCGCCGCGCGGCTGGTGCGGCGCCGGCGGCGGGCGGCCGGCCCACGTCGGGGCGCGCTGGTCCGACCTGGGGCGACGGCAGGCCCGCCCCTGCAAGGCGGCCCCCCCCGCCCCCCCGCCCCCGCCCGCCGCCAATATGCAAGCGCGCCGACCTGGCGGGGCCGCTTGGCCTGCGCGGGCGCGCCGTCCTCGGATGCAGCGGGGGGGGTGTTCCCCAGGTCCTTCTCGACGGGGTGCGCGCTGTTTTCGCGCTCTCTGAAACGGCGTCCAAACGGGTTTGCCCTTTAGGATCCAAGATTTGCGGTGCATTTTTTATGTTTTTCTTATTTTTTCCGTTGCCAGTCAGCTGGCGAGGGATCCCACGAGCGCGTTTGTCTGTTTGTCTTCTCCTCCTTTTTGTGGCACGGTGTCGGACTTGCTACAGGCAGCTGGATCCCAGTCGCAGTCGTCCTCATGATGAGACCTGTTAAATCCATTTTCATCAGAAGCCCCCCAGTCACGACCATCCTCCCTTCGTCATTGTTTTGTCACCATCATATCCATCATTTCCCGTCCTGCCTATTCTCCTTGCCATAGTCGCCCTGACCCCCCCGTTGCTCTTCGTTTTTCGTTCCTCCATTTCTCCTTTTCCCCTTGTCTTCTTCATCGTTATGTGTTTTCCTTCGACCGTTTTCACAGGCCCCAACAAAATCGCCAGAACCCCACGAAGCTTCCCGAAGGCCCCCAGAACCCCAAAAACAAAAAAACTCCCCCCCAACAAATGAAGCTTTGCAGATGCATCAGGCGCTTCGATGGCCCAGAAAATTTTTCCAGAGGCCCCACGGGGCTCGTCATAGGCGCTTTGTTGGCGTGTGTGTGTGTGTGTGTGTGTGTGTGTGTGTGTGTGTGTGTGTGTGTGTGTGTGTGTGTGTGTGTGTGTGTTTGTGTGTGTGTGTGTGTTGTGTGTGTGTGTGTGTGTGTGTGTGTGTGTGTGTGTGTGTGTGTGTGTGTGTGTGTGTGTGTGTGTGTGTGTGTGTGTGTGTGTGTGTGTGTGTGTGTGTGTGTGTGTGTGTGTGTGTGTGTGTGTGTGTGTGTGTGTGTTGTGTGTGTGTGTGTGTGTGTGTGTGTGTGTGTGTGTGTGTGTGTGTGTGTGTGTGTGTGTGTGTGTGTGTGTGTGTGTGTGTGTGTGTGTGTGTGTGTGTGTGTGTGTGTGTGTGTGTGTGTGTGTGTGTGTGTGTGTGTGTGTGTGTGTGTGTGTGTGTGTGTGTGTGTGTGTGTGTGTGTGTGTGTGTGTGTGTGTGTGTGAGGGGGGGGACCGGGCCTCTGCCTGCAGGCCACCCTCTCTCTGTCGTAACCGACGTTTTGCAGATTCATGGAGCACTCCTGGCTAGACAAATTTCCATTGGGCCACACAATCACCCAACGAGCCACGCAAACATGTCTTATCGTGGGAACCCACCCCAGAGGGATCCCCCCCCGAGAGCCCTCCTCGGGACCCCCCATCCAGACCCCTCCCGGGTTCGGGACCCCTCTCCGGGACCAACCCCCCCGCCCCCCGACCCCCCCCCGCTACCCCCCCTCGTTCGCTACCCCCCGTCGCCAGGGAAGGGATCAAAAGGACGGGCTTCCTTCCAAACAAGCACGACGTTGTTTGATTTCCGTTTGGATTGATCGCTTGCGGAGGAGGGCCCAGGGAAACGGGGTCAGCGCCGACGGCGACGACGACCCGAACGATCTCGAACGGAAAAACGTTGTACACACGCCGACAGGGTCGGCAGATTTTGGGCGTACTGGCCTATATCCACGCTTTCGCGTTCATCCCCCGTCCTCTTCCTCTTTTCTCTCTATGCACTGCAACGTTGTCGCCTTGCACGCGCCCGCCAGCGAAGCCGGCCTGGCGCGGCCATCAAAGGTTTGTTGTCCCTTCGGTCTGGGTCAGGCGTTGCGGCTCCCAGGCCAGAGTGTGTTCAAGACAATTCCTTGGTATGTAGAACTAACATAGCGTTCCACGTGCCGTGGTTCTTCAATTAAGTCAACATGTGTTGCGGTGAAAAGGGTCGAAGGCTGAACCCTGCTGTTTTAGAGGTTGTTGAACCTGCGCCAATCGGCATGGATGGGCGTGGTCAGTAAACCCGCTTCTTGCCATGTATAACACTTCAGCAAGTTACTCGAAATAGTGTAAGTTGGTGGGTCGCCCGTGCATCCACGTTCGAACGCAGCTGATACGCACGTTTTCCGAGCCTTCGATTTCAGAATTTAGTTTTCCGAAGTATGTTCGCCGAGGCGAGTGGATGTTATGAATCCCCCCTTGTCCGAAGGCAGTTTCTGTTGCGTCGATGGGTCAGCTTGCGGCGAATTCGAACGCTGCGCACAGTCGGAAACGCGCGTCGTTCGTGACAGCGTCGGCCTGCCCCGTGTGGTTGTTTGTGGCAGGTCATAATGAGGATCGCCAACCACATTCCGAAACGCCGGAGGCGGACAGGACCAGGGGTGCCCGAAAAAGTGGGCATATTCAGTCCGAGACCACAGGGTGCGCGACAAGGGCTTCAACGCGGGTGCGCGCTATGTCTTGCATATTGCAGTGAGTTGGATATGGCTGCTAAGCTAAATGTTATCTGCCGAGCGTTTCTCCCGAGTTCGATTTCGGCATGGCGCGAGTGTTCAGCACGCCAGAGCCGGACTCCGGCAGATCTCTCGAGTGATTGTTGGATTATTGTGCCATTGTTGTGGCCTTTCTTGCGACCAGCAGCAGCGCCGTGGAGGCACCGCACCAGCAGGCCGCCGCAACAACGCAGCCGCAGCAGTCCTATTCAGTTCGTTTGGTCGGACCAACAAGGGGCGTCACAGGTGCGTCCTGACAGATAGAAAAGTAGCAATGGTCGTCACAGAAGGGCGTCGCAGGTGCATTCTGCCCGTATGACGAAGGGCCCCGCGAGCGCTGAACTTCAGGGGTCAGGTGGTTCACACTTTTGGGCCGTGGTGAGTGCCCGCTGTGACAGCCAGGGGAGGCCGCGATGTCACGAAAGAGGGGCGAGTTGTTTTCTCCCTTTCCCGAAGGCAGTTCCTGTTACGTCGATGGGTCAGCCAGCGGTGAAAGCAGACGCTGCACACAGTCGGAAACGAGCGTCGTTCGTGACAGCGTCGACCTGCCCCGCGCGGTTGGTCGCGGCAGATCCTGAAGAGGATTGCCAACCACACGCCGAAACATTGGAGACGGATAGGACCAGGGGTGCCCCAGAAACTGGGCATATTCAGTGCGCGACAAGGGTTTCAACGCGGGCGCGCGCTACGTCCTGCATCTTTCACTTGGCGAAGTGACCTCCGTCCACATCGGCCGGCCGATCAGAAGGAGCCCCTTGAGGCCTCTACGGAGGTCTCCGGAGTCTTTTGGAGGCACAGACGAAAACAACCAAACGCGTCCATCAAATATTGCCTTGTTCCTTCATTCCCCACTTGTCGCATTCGGTTTCGAGGCGCCTTAACTTGTTTTATTCGTTCGTGGGCGCAGTCCCCTGGTGGCGCCGCCCTTGAAAGCACAGTGGTCGCAAGCGCCCATTGCGGTTGACATGCAGGGTCAGGGCAAACACTAGGCATAACAAGAGTGATCGCGAGGAAGAAGCGGAGGAGGGGGAGGGTAGCAGCAACAGCACTAGCGAGGCGGGAGGGGGAGGAGGAGCGACGGAAAGGAGGGGAGGTTGGAGGCGAAGGAGTAGCAGCGGGGAGCGGGAGCAGGCAAAGGAGGGAGGAGCAAGAGGAGGGATCCGAGGGGACGGGAGAAGAACAGCGGTCGACCCACCCCGTCGTCGTCGTCGTCGGCATCCCCCGCCCCTTCACCCTCGTCGTCCTCGTGGCCGACCGCCGTCACCGCCGCGCTGCCAGCGCAGAAGGCCGCCCGTGGCTGCCGCAGGGGGCCGCCCGTGGCCGCCGCCGCCGCCGCCGTCGCCGACGCCGCCGCGCCGTGCTCGGAAAACCGCCGGCACAAAGTAGCTGGCGCGGCCCGCGCCTCCGCGCACCCGGGGGCTCTTGTGCTTGGCAGGAGGAAGAAGAGGAGGAGGCGGAGAGGGAACAGGAGGAGGAGGAGGAGGAGGAGGAGGGGGAGGAGTAGGGAGGAGGAGGGTAGGAGGAGGCGGAGGAGGATGATGAGGAGGATTAGGAGGAGGAGGAGGAGGAGTTGATGAGGATGAGTAGGAGAGAGAGGGGAAGGGAGGATGGAAGAGATGAGGAGGAGGAGTATGATGAGTAGTGGGAGGCGTCGGAGGTGTGGGATTATGAGTAGTCTTGAGTATGTAGTAGGAGGAGAGGTGATTGCAGAGGAGGAGTCACGAAGGAGGGTGAGTAGGATTAGTAATTCTTCGCTCATGAGTAGGATTATTGGGGGGGAGCGCGCACCCGCGCTGTCTCTGGGCGTCCATTGCGCCGTTCTCCATGCCACCCAGCAGAGCTCCTCAGGGCTCTCCCGAGGGCTTCGCGGAGCACCGCCGAGTGCCTCGCGGGGGCCTCTGAGGGCCTCGCGATGCGCCGCCCAGGGCTCTCCCGAGGGCGCCGCCGAAGGTCTCGTGGAACGCCGCCGACTGCGTCGCGGAGGCCTCCGAGGGCCTCGCGGGGCGCCGCCGAGGGCATCACGGAGGCCTCGCGGAGGCCTCGCGGAGCGCGCGCGCGCATGCCACGCGCGCGTGCAGGACGAGTTGTTGCACGACACCGCCTACTTGACGCAGGAGATCGACAGGGTGAAGGAGGAGAAGGCCAAGACTCAGCAGGAACCGTCCCTTCGTCCTCCGCCTTTCTTCCGCCGCGCCCGAGGGTGGGCAACCAATGCGCGGGCGTTGGCACCCACGCGCCAGCCTTGTTCGAACAAGGCCATGCCTTGCATTATCGTCCTCCCTCCTTTCCTCCCTCCTTGCCTCCCCCCCTCCCTTCCTCGGCCTTCCCGCCCTCCCTCCCTCCCTCCTTCCTCCATGCCTCGTTCACACATTCATGTTCCTTGCATCTCCGTCTATTCCCCCTCCTCCTCTTCTTCCTCCTCCTCCTCCTCCTCCTTCTCCTCTTCCTCATCCCCATCCTCATCATCATCATCCTCCGCCTCCGCCTCCTCTTCGTCCTCCTCCTCCTCCCTCCTCCTCCTCCTCCTCCTCCTCTTCCCTCCTCCTCCTCCCCCATCCTCCTCGCTCCTCCTCCCTCCTCCTCCTCCTCCTCCTTCCTCATCTTCCTCCTCCTCATGCCCCATGCCTCATCATCATCCTCATCATCCGCCTCCGCCTCCTCTTCGTCGTCCTCCTCCTCCTCCTCCTTCTCCTCCTCCTCCTCCTCCTCCTCCTCCTCCCCCCTCTCCCTCCTCCTCCTTCTCCTCCTTTTCCTTCTCCTGTGGCTGGGGGGGGCCGTCGGACTTGTGTCAAGTTAAGGCAGCGTTTGAGCAAGGGCCGCTCCAGGTGTGTCACAACCAATCAACTTCGTAGGTTTGCGTCGTTGGCCAAGGCGCTCCAAAAGGCTTTGGTTCCAGGGAGCCTTGCCACAGTCTGTGTACGGACACCAGGCCATGGGACCCTCCCCGCCCGCTATTGTGTAGCTCAGAAGACAGGCAGCCCAAACGGTGGCTGGACGGGGCTCAGGGCGCTGTCTCACTGCCACCTTGGCGATTTGGTACGGAGACAAAGACCCAGGTGTGAGCTTAAGGACGCAACTGGCCCGCTCATGGCTTGCTATTTGGGACAAGTGCTCCGCCCTCCACCCCAGGATTTCCAAGGCATGGTGGTTGGTGGCCGCGCGCCTCCGGCACAGACCCTAGTTCTGGTGGAGGAAAGTGCGCGGCCCCACTGGGGCTTATCATCGCCACCTTGAAAGACGCGGGCTGGCGACCTGTTTCCCCTAAGGAGTGGCGGAGGCTTGTCGCACCAAACGCGTCCGACACTTGACATTTCCCCGACACTGAGGTGGATCGGGTTGCTGGCGGTTTTGATATCGCCGAACTTGTTAGTGATTTTGCCGAGGACCTCAAAACAAAAAAAGGGGAAAAAAAAACCACCTCGGACCTCAAGTCTCAGCTTTGGGCGCAGGCGTCGAAACACCCTCATGGTGAGGATTTCGCGTCGGGGGCCGACGTTGTCATGCTGAGGTCTCAGCTCCAAAGGTTTCTCAAGAGATGTGAATCTGACCTCGCTGGGCAGATGGTCCTGTGGCTGCAGGCGGCCAGTGGCCCCATCAACGCCAGTTGGCCCAGGGGCACGTGGTTTCACCCAAGTGCCCACGTCGCGGGGCCCTTGGGGAGTCCGTGTTTCATGTCGGAGGGGGATCGACCTCCTACCCTGACGCGTCGATGAAGGAATTGGCCGTCTTCGATTCGCGAGAGGGCGCCGCGGCCGTCAGTTTTGCGGGTCCCGGTCCATCGGTTTCGGTCCCAGGCCGTTTTCACTAAGGGGAGGTTTACTAAAGGGAGGTTTGTCCACCGCCGATCGTCGGGTTTGGAAATGTTCCAGCAGCCGTGGGGACCCTGCGCACGAGAAGTCCGAGCATGTAGGTTCCCAGGCCCGCGCGGGCCACGAGGCCAACCCGAGTCTCTGGTTGCGCGGGCCCCCGCCGCGCTGCTTCACATGCCCTGACTTTCGGGATGGGGGTGGGGTCGCGGAGCGTCGCTTGAAAATGTGTGACAGGGGCAGGCGCGTGCCACGGCCGCCCGCGCTTGCTCCGACAGGCCGAACACCCAGGTTCTGTCATCTAGCGCGGGGAAACCTGCACTCCTTTCTCAGGCCCCGGCTGTGGGCGCCAGGGACATTGGCAAGCCTGGCTGCGCGGCTGCCAAGGACGGCAGTGGGCCCGGCTGCGTGGGCTGATGCGGGCGCTGCGGAAGAGTGGCTCGATCCCGTCCTTGAGGACGGCTTCCTTTTTACAGTCTTCGGAGACGGCTCGGGCTGGCTCCGTCGCCGACGTGCAGGCGCGGCTGCGATCATTCTGGCTGCGGCCCCCTGGGGGCCCGGGCGTCGGGCCCGCGGGTGTGCCACGACCCTTGGGGGTCGTCGTCAGACGGTGCCCAGAGCGGGGATCCGTGCGCTCGATCTCGCGCTCAAGAAGTTTATTGGGCATGTGCGTTTCCTCACGGACAACGTTGCGCTGCAACAAAAGGCGGCTTACTGGGAGGCACGATAAATGCAGTGGCCCCAACTCTTATCTGTGGTTTCTTGTCCGTGCGCTTCTTTCTGCAAAAAGGGGAGGGGGCGGTCCAGGTTGCGTGGTGCCCGTCGCACGTCCGAAAGCGTTTGCGCGCCAATGGTTTCGCCAACGTTCGCGCGGGGGAAGCGGCCCGGTTCTCCTGGGCCGATGGCCTTCAGGGCCAGAGACCCCCCGACACGGACGTTTGGGATTGGACGGCTGCATTGGTTAGGCACAGAGCGGCCAGAGCGATGGTGGACTCCATCAGTGTTGCGCCTTGGTCCGTGGCTCGGCCTCCTGAGGCCCGTGGGTGGTTTCTTGGGGCCCCTGCGTAGGAGCGAGCACTGTTTGCTTCGGGTCGAACGGAAATGGTTGCGTTCTCTTTGCCACACCGTGGTCCTCGCGGCACATGTGGCTGAGTTCAGATCCGCTGCGTGCATTGCCGCGGCCCGAGACTTGGCCGAGTTTGGGGTGGCGCGGGCGAGTGGGACGGCGACGGCGGGCGGGAAGGAGCGGAACGCACCTCATATAAGTTATATGTCTGGCCCAAGTTGGGGCATTTTCTTGCTTGGCTTCTTTCGGGGCGCACGGCCGGCACCGAGAAAGGCTTTGAGAACCACCAGCGGGATCAGAAGGGGTCGTTTCCCAGTCGCCA